ATTTTATTTTATGACTTATAAAAAAGTAAAAATATAAACATATAAACGTATAAAATATGTTAAACTATAAAGAATATGATTTATCATAAAAATAATGTGATCAATAATAAAATGACAGGTGCCAAATTTTTAAAGAAAGAAGGAGTGTCTTATGGATCTCTCAAATGAAAAACTATCCCATGAATCTCTCACCCATTTTTATTAAAAATCATTTTTTATTTAATTTTGATTTATTTTTAAAGAAAATTTCTTGGCGAGAGACCCAATGGAAGTGATCTTACTCACTGCCCCCATCTCTCGTTTCTTCATTGCTACCAAAATAGAGATAACATTTTAGAGGCTACACTTCTTTTGGCTACTCAAATTCTACTCAAATCTCTATGATCGATCTCACGTGGAACTAATCAATATTCATCAATAAAAAACGATAACTATTGTTCTACAAAAAGAAAAGAAAATTCCATAACTAATCTTTGTTCCCTCGCATACATTATGATCATTCTTCCAAACGGATTTCGCTAGAGTATGTTTTTATTGATATACCCTAATTTGACTTCGTACCAAAAGACGAAGAAGCTATTATGAGTCTAAATGGCCGAGTTACTCTAGAATTTTGATGTAGGATTTATTCTACTCCATTTCAGAGCATTGGTTCACTTCTATGAAATCATTTCCTCTTCATGGGTTTATATTTTTTTATGAGTTTAATATTTCCAATCTTTATTATAGTTGAGGATAAAAGAAATTTCCAAGTGGATTTAGAAAAAAATGAAGGCTCTACAATGGAAGCAATTGGGCCAATTCATTGGAATATGGCCCATATGTAGTATTTTATCACACCCGCGTGCTCGTTTCTCGTTATTAAGCACTACGCATTTTTGTGTGTTTTCTGTCAACCACTATGCAATGTTTTTATTTTGCTACGTTTATCTGTTCATTGTTACATCTTTTTTGTCTATCGGTAATATTATTTGGAAAAAATTGCAAAATATGGTATCGGATCGCTGATACACAAAAAATTACTTATTCTTTCAAGCGTAAATTATAGTAGTGTTTACGTGTGCATAGTACAATGTATATATATTGAAAATATAATTATTTTAGGTTTTCATAAAATAATTTTGGTACTTGTAAAATGTATATAATATTTTTTTTTAATATTTGTATAATTTACAAATAAATCGCTTTAATATACTCAGTATTCAAATATCTTAAATTCTGAAAACATAAAACCACACTTTTGTAGCATAAAATAAAACGTAGCCATAAAAAATGAACTAATCACACATTTTCCACTTCCCTATCTTATATCGAATGAGCAATAAATGCGGAGGTGCATAGAGTTGGTGAAATGGTGTATTAATTATTTGTTAGGTTTGCAATTAAGATAACAGGCCACACATGTTGATATGTGTGTGTCTCTTTTTCACGTTTTGTATTGTCTATGACTTCATACTGTCATTTAAAAGTGTTGCACGTTTCAACTCGAAGTTTCAAATGTCACTCCAAGTTGCTACTATACTGTTACATAAAGAGATCAAACACAACACAGATTACTTTACAGAATCCAGGGGCAAATTTGTAATATATCATCCTCACCCCCCTAAAAGAGCACTATTTGTTTCCTCAGACAAGGGTCCCACCCTTGACGAACTCAGTGAACGCTAACGCGACCAAACCGAGCATAGCAAAACGCCCGTTCCAAAGCTCAGCGTCTGACGTCATGAAACCATCGGACTTGGACTCGGCGGTTATGCCCTTGAAAAGCGGTACGAGAGACGCAAGCGTCAGGATCGCCGTCGTGCCGAGGAACCATGAAACACCACCGTCGGAGATCTGAGCGAAAACGTTTTCTCCCTTGGAAAGCTCAACCGCCAAAGCCGCTACGAATCCAACCATAGCTAAACGCCCGTTTATCCTCTCTGGTGCTGGACCGCTAAAAGCTAGCAAGTCGCTAAATTTCGTGCTCACCTGTTTACATTATGCACCAACCCAAAGTTGTGAGGTATATATCACTACAAGAATATAATTATTTTAACATACGTAACAAAAAAAAAATCAAGTTTAATGAAGATATGTTTGTTTAGTGTCTAATACGTAACAAAAACATAAAAAAAAAAACTGTTTCATTGCTAGATGTTTCACATTTTGTATAAGGAAAAAAGTATATATAACATGTAACAGAAACAAAGTTATACACATGTGTTAGGTTATAAACAGCTGACTTTATGAGTGAATCTCAAAAGTATTAAAGTGTTCTGAAACTTGAATTAAAAAACATAGGAGGAGAAAACAAACTAAAATCAATTAAAAATCAATGAGACTAAATAATATACAAAATACACAAAAATTGATACCTTAGGTTTAGTAGGAGGAGGAGGCGATGGTGACTTAGGCAAAGGCTTAGCCGCGGAGGTGGAAGGTGCTGAGTCCTCCTTTATGGGCTCTTCCTGTAAAAGTAAACAATCGGACGGTCAGGATTTCATAGTCAGATTGATGAATGACCGTTGAATTAGGAAAGTGGAGGAAAAATTGATGTATACATACCTCAGCCATGCATCTCACTCCCACTGGATAATTCCTCTTGAGGTTAGGGAAGTTTCCGGCGAAGAAAAGCTTGTTGGTGTTGATCTTGCGAGTGGTCAATCCACCGGCGAAGACTGACTGCATGTTAAACGACGCCGTTGCCATTTCTGAAGCTTTTTTTTTACTTGTGTGAAGAATAGAGAGAAGATTTTAGTTGCTGCAAAACGTTAAGTTGGATCTTGTGTAGAAGGTTGATATGAGTAATGAAGGATCAATGTAATGTATTTATAGGACGGGGGTGATGAGAAATGATAGGTCTAGTTGTTTCCTGAACTTTCTTTTAGGTTTTTTACTTGTTTAGCCTTCACTATTTGATTAGTTGTTTGTTCAAATTTAAATTAAACACATGAAAAATTGATCTGAACCGTTGTTTTCGTTTGTTCGATTAATTGAACTTTAACATGCGTGAGTAAAAAAAAAAAAAAACATGCGTGAGTTAACTTTAGTGAGTGTTTATAGTCGTACGTTTGATATACATAAATAAAAACTTTAATTGTTATGCAAATGGCTTCATTAATAGTTTCGAATACTATTGTTGTTAATTGTTATGTCATAACCGAGCTTGTATATTGATAATAAACATTTACGAATAGTAATCAAACCTCGTTTTCAAAGAAAAATCCTATAAAAATGTTTCTATGCAAAATTAGTTTGTACGTACATACGGGTCGGTCATGTTTCGTTTTCATAGGAACTGAAATACCGTAATTATTATATTCGGATCCTCCAAATTCTAACATTTTCGGACGTCCAAAATATTTATTTATTCAAAAACAAAACTGAATATTATTATTTTGGCAGGTCCAAAACGAAACACGTAGGCTCAAAAGTGCAAAAGAGGAAGCTGCGATATTTGAAGAACCACGTTGCTATAGCTTGTCCCACGCATAAAACGAAAATTGCTTTTCAAACTTTTGATGTAAAAAGAGCAAATTAGTCGATGACGTGGCG